CGGGCCTTGAGTTTGACACATGTGATGTAAATGGTCTGCAAAGGCTCAAGTCCAGAGGTTTCTCTCCCGCACCCTATTTCTTAGGACCATAGTATTTCTACTTTGTCCTTGAGTACAGGATCTGAGTACTTATTCCACCACAGGAATACATATGAGCTGTGGTCTAGAGCATTTGATAAGTACTGAAACATTGAAATCACTTTCACTGAAACCCCTCCTGGTAAAAACAATATGACAGATAATTTTACACCGTGTGAGAAAATTGATCATGTGTAGTATTGTTTCTCCCTCTGTTTTTCTCTCGCATATAAAGACACAGACAATCTTTGAATACAAGTGCTTACATGTAGAAACAACACATTAATAATTCATAAAATAACCAATTTCAACTCCTTCACAGTCTGCTTTGCTCCATGATTACACTTCCTACTGCTGCGCTTCACAAATCAACATATTTAGATGTAAAGTGGTATCACAGGCAATAATATAAATCAGCTACTTTGAATCCTCTGGATAGTGAAAAGATAAAAACAAATGATAGTTCGGTTTAACCTAACAGGTAGATATTACAGATTTTGACAAGTGTATTCTACTCCTAAGAATGAAATACAGACCCTACGAGACAGATGGTCTTTAACCTAGAAATAGAGAACAGACGCGCGCATTTGTTAAATAGACAATTATTCGGCCCAGGGGTTGGCGCGTGATCAAATCGCTGTGCCTCTGTGATGTTTCCACAGCTTTGATCTCTCCGTGTTAACTCTTTCCGTGCGGCTGCATCGTGCCCGCGCTCGCCTCGGCCTCGCTCATAGCCCCATATGATGGGTAGTGCTTCCTGTTTGGCCTCCAGGCAGAATCAGTGAAATCGTTTTGGCATGCGAGTTGTGAAGCAGACTCTCCTCACAACTGTTGGCCCAGAGGTTGAGGCCTTTACGTACACAGAAGTCCATTTTATTTTAAACAGCTGTGACATGTCTCCTGTCACAAAGCGGGCAAAGCGTTTATGTTCGAAAGTCCAAAAATGCAGAGTTTTGTTTTCTGACTGTTGAAAGTGTGTACCTCAGTCTGGCAGATGCTCATGTTTTTCTAGTGTTAAGCCACTGATTTCACGTAGAAACTGTAAATGTGTTTGATTTAAAAGGAATATCAGCAGCCTGCCTTCTCACACTGTATATTTCAGCACCATGGAGAGCGACAGGGCACCGTTGGAAAAGCAGACTGGTGCCCCACTGAATATTTGATTTACTCAGGCATTACTGATTGATGGGGGTGTATGCTTCCAAGGAATCATGAAAAAAACGTAAAAACCCCCTCACTGCTAAACAGATATCTATTCCCTCACACGCTAAGTTGACAGTTTTGTAGGAACACCTAGCTCCAACCAATGCAGTCTGACGCTGTAAATCCTGCTGTCGTGTTGGCATAGTTCGTTTTTTTCCGGAAACTTTTTATTGTATTATTTCAATTTTATAGACATTGGACCATGGAGGCTGTAGTTTGGAATCCTGTCTGACGATCGCCAGGTTTATTTATTTACTTTAATTAGTAGTCTTAAAGGTCAACTATTATACAAAATCCACTTTTTCATGTCTCTTCTACATCAACACGTGTCCCCTCTGCGTTACGAGATTTGGAAAGTTTCAGGAAAAAAGATTCTCTCTCTTTTTGTCCTGATCCATCTATATAAAAACCTGTCTGAAAATGAGCTGATCAGATTTTGTCCACTTTATGATGTCATAACAATTTTTTGGCTTGTGTAACCGTTAGCCAATAACCAACCAAGGTAACCCCCCCCCCACCTTATCACCTGAATCTCCTCCAAGAGCACCATTGTTTTTTTCAAACCAAACATCTTACAGAGGGGCGTGGCCAGCAGCAGCTCATTTGCATCTAAAGCTACAGTCACAGAATCAGCACTTTTGAAACAGGGCTGAAACAGAGGGGATTATGGGATGCTGCAATGATCTGTTTGGTATTTCAGCCAAACACTTCAGAGACATGTTTGTATATATCTGATACCTATAATATATTGTTGAAAAATAGTATAATAGTGGACCTTTAAGTTTGTTTTGAACGTTTTTTACTGCACATGTTCCCTCATTTTGGTTGAATGTTTTCTAAATGCTGGGCATGTGTTCACGTTGCTGAAGATGTTTCTTCACATGCATGTGTTTTGGCACATTTTAGTTTTTTTATTTGCATCGTTTCGGAAAGTGCAGCAAATGGGCCCCCACCCGCTGGGAATTTGTTGTTTTTCTGGAAAATTATCATAGCCTCAGACCTTGAGGTGCTGACACTCATCCCAATCTCTTCATGCTCCAGCGCATACTGATGAACCCATCAGAAGCACATCTGCACGGAACAGAGAAGCAACTCTGGGGACCCCAAACTGGACCCTAGTGTATAAAAAGTACAAGAGTGGTTGATACAATACAAATAAAAGAATGGGGAATATAAAGCTAAACAGCTGGTTAGTTTAGCGTATCAGTAAGACTGGAAACAAGGGAAACAGCTAGCTAACATAATCCACTTGTCAGCAACTCTAAAACGTAATGAATTGTTCTGCTATTATTTCATTTTTTTTTTCAAAAAGTAACCTGAAGCTGACGTAATTATTTTCTATCGATTCCACCTGTTTATGCACTGTAAGCAGAAAGACACAGGAACACAGGTGAGTGACGTTCTGTCTCCTGATACGTGTGTGTGTGTGTGTGTGTGTGGTGTGTGTGTGTGTGTGTGTGTGTGTGTGTGTGTGTGTGTGTGTGTGTGTGTGTGTGTGTGTGTGTGTGTGTGTGTGTGTGTGTGTGTGTGTGTGTGTGTGTGTGTGTGTGTGTGTGTGTGGTGTGTGTGTGTGTGTGTGTGTGTGTGTGTGTGTGTGTGTGTGTGTGTGTGTGTGTGTGTGTGTGTGTGTGTGCTTTGATCTGTCTGTCATATGGTCGTACAGCTGTGTACTGACATGATTACAAAGGCCTGGCCAGATGTGCTGACCAGCTGTCTATGACACAGCATGTGTTTTGTTATGTGTTTCTGTGTTTCCCACAGAATGTGATTCTATTTGGCAAGAAAAGCCAAAGGCCCCTTAACCTATTCGGGTGGCCCACGCATCCACCCCCCCCCCCCCCTCAAATAAGAAAATACATGCGAGTTCATGGCTACTGTAGACAACGTTCTTGTTGCTCTGTGTTGCGTTGTTAATGAGTGAGACAGTTGAGGATCTGTGGGGTTTATTCTCCCAAAAACACCTTATTCCAAAGCGACTTACAATGACCAATTACAGGGACATTCTCCCTGGAGTAACTGAGGGCTAAGTGCCTCAAGGGAATGGGAAACACTGTGTTCATATGAGGGATGAGGCAGCACATTGTCTTAATGACAAGGGCAGATTCAGAAACAACACCACTTTTAACTCAAGTTATTCAAAAGAACTGTGGATCGTGTTGTGTGTGTGCTTGTTGTTCCTGTGCGATTGTCTTGGAACGTAAGCAAGAATACGATTGGCTTATAAAATTGGCTTCATTCAGCACTTCCCACTTCACTGACTTAAGCCCACAAGGGAAATGTTTGTGTGTGTTTGCGATACAGAAGAAGAATGTGGTTGCAGCCCATATATGGCCATGTAGTTTGGTTGGAGCCAGTGCGTTCGCTACGGAATGAATCAGAGTGCTGTTACATCAGCGGTACGGGCAGGCGGGATGGATCACTTGCACTCCTATTGGTACACACACTTCCATTTGAGTGTGTGTGTATTTGTGTGAGTGTGTGCGAGAGAGAGAGGAATGACACAAACACATATGATGGCCTACTTTTCCGCAACATGGGGATGTAAGGACTGTTATGCAGCAGTGATAGTGGGTAGTGCATCAACACTGTGTGAATGAATGGGAGTAGATGGACAACAAAGAGGAAGTGACTCCCATGTACAGAACTACTCCTCAAACTATTACTCTGTCTACTTATTTCATCAGAAAAATATATCACAGAGCAGAAGTTTTGTAATCTTTTACTGCTGTTCAGTTATTGCAGTTTCGGGATGTTACTCAAAGTCAATTCAGGTTAAAACACCTTTGTCAATATGAATCACCATGCAGAACAAAAGGAAAGGACACCAATCACGTTATACTGTACCTCCCATCCAGCCAGGACCAGAAGAGTCAAATAATGCTGTAGAACCCTTTATTGACCCCCATATCGACAAAAGACACACTGAAATTTAGCAATATAAGTATAAATATCAAGGCTTTGTGAGTTTCCATCCGACAAAAGCTCAGGCACGTGGGTCGGTAAACCAGACAAACATTTGCCAAACCAACCATTCTTCCTCCTTGAGTTCTTTTGTCTTGAAAACCTTTTTGGAAACATTCCCCATATAGCATAAAGCATGGGTTGTACTCTGAAGCGAACACATACATACATACATACATCAGTGGACCCATAGTGGTTTTGTTGATTGATTCTCTCAGGAGTCTGCTTGAAGGAAGCATTCTACAGTACATACTGTACTGTGTGCTTACTAACGTTGAGGTCCCTTTTAACAAATGCAGTCCAACCCTTACATTGGTTATGTGTGAATGGAAGCAGGGATTGGCATTCAGGAAAGTTAGTACGTCAATATCCTACTTTAGGACATTTACATTACATAGTTACATTTTAGGAAGAGGATTCTACTACTGCGTTGTAAATTGAAGGCGATCTAATGCGAGCCAATCACAAGACCCAACTTTTGAAGTCCTTGTATCACTTTATCGACTTTTAGCGACTGTTTAGCATTTAAGCCAATACTTTTGTGAGCGATTTGTCTGGTTGCGCATGCTTCCCCTTGAAAAAATATTATTATTTTTTAAAAGGGTTCTTATGATTTAAGATATATGTTTTTCTAGTAGCCTATCATCCTGTGTATGCAGCACCAACTTTCACATCTTGTTAAATAATTAGACATACAGTATGTGACTACAGAGAATATTTATGGGAATTGGTATTTAAGTGGTATTTTTCTTTTTCAGGAACATTTCAAGGCCAGTGGGTCGGCGGGATGCGGCATGGCTACGGAGTCCGGCAGAGTGTCCCATACGGCATGGCGGCAGTCATCCGCTCCCCGCTCCGTACCTCCATAAACTCTCTGCGCTCCGGTTCGGAGCACAGCAATGGCACAGCTCTGCTGGACCGGACCGGCGCAGTGGTTCCTGGTACTCATCCTGGTCCTGGCACTCTGACCACCAGCGTCTCCATGTGCAGCACAGGCAGCAGCGGCAGCAGCCCCGCTGTGTCTCGGGGGGGTTTTGTGCTGACGGCGCACAGCGAGGCAGAGCTGCTTAAGGGAAAGAGAAAAAGCGGACTGTTCCGGAGGTCCATCCTCTCCGGGCTCAAGCTGAGGAAGTCCGAGTCCAGAAGTTCTTTGGCCTCCCAGAGGTCTAAACAGAGCTCGTTCAGGAGCGAGGCTGGGATGAGTACCGTGTCCTCAGCTGCATCTGATATTAACTCTACTATCAGGTAATAACAGGAGTAGACAATGGAGGGGGTGTGGTGGGAAAGCCCTACTGCAGGTCAGGGAGGGTTACGGCCTACTAGTTAGTGAGGTAGAAGGTTTAGTACCAAAAATCAATGGACACAATGAAAGGCTTCGTTTTATATTGTAAACCAGTACCCTAGGAGTTACTCTGGTATATTTCGCACCTTACAATTGATGTCCAATGACAACCTTCAGTGCCAATTTTCTGAAGCATTTCGGTTCAGACTTTGATGCAAGAGACTGGAGTTAGACTGGATTAATGTCTTAGTTTTTTACTAACTGTTTCCTTTTCACTAAGATCTTTCTCAACCTAATTTCAATAAGCACCTTAACACTAGAACTGCCAGAGGTCGCTGTATACCTACAACCGCCAACGGGTAAAATGTACCCGCTATTGATTTTCAAGGTACAATGTTCTTTTATTTATCATACAGAACAGTGAGTTTTGAACGATGAAACTTATACCAATAGAATCTGTGGACTCTCAGCTTTTCATATGATATAGTTTGTGCAGATAGCATGAAGTATAAAATATCGCTACCAGTGCTGATTTAAACGCTTGGTGTTAGACTTGTGTTTTGTTTAGGTACAAATCTCTCTATCTCTCTCTCTATCTATCTATAACTATCTATCTCTCTATCTCTCTCTCTCTCTCTCTCTATCTATAACTATCTATCGATCTATCTGTAACTATCTATCGATCTATCTGTAATGTTCTGTTCTATGGACATATAATTGTCTACATAAACAGACGACGCAGACTACTTCTCTCATTCCGAGTGTCCATCTTTATTCAACTGGCACGTAACCTGCACACATGCATTACGTCCTCAACGTGAGCTCAGTCATCCAAGATCTTGTATTCTCCAAGATGTTACACTATCTATAACTATCTATCTGTCTATCTCTCTATCTATCTATCAATATAACTATCTCTCTATCTCTCTCTCTATCTATCTCTCTCTCTCTCTCTCTCTCTCTCTCTCTCTCTATCAATCTATCTATCTATCTATCTCTCTCTCTCAATCTATCTCTCTATCTACAAGGAACCGCAGTAGACAAACGGCGTTGCTATAGCAACACGTCATGTTTACGCTGCATTTTCTATGAGGTAAATATTACCCGCTGGCGGACATAGGTATAAATGGCAATTGTTTTGGCGATTTTTTCAATCTGACTTCATATTGACCATTTTTAACAACAGAGGGTGCTACATAACACACTTTCAGGGAAAGTCACGGACTGGGAGACTTGAATATTTTATTGAAAAAGAGTTTCTAGTGTTAATGTAGTAAGCAAGAATAAAAAAACAAGTTGGGATTCAACCTGATCCAGGTTTTTGCAGAGTCGTCCAATATGAAAGCCCTAGTCTGATATTAAAGTTCTGATTGTCATACACAACATTTTTTACATTGACTTTTTTACACATTATTATGTAAAAATCACGCCTTTTCCTGTAAGGTCAAAAAGCTATACTGTTCACCTTTAACTGAATTAATCTAAAACCTTCCTCAAGTCCCCAAATATCCTGTTTCACATAGAAACATTTCAACGCTGTTTCAATGTCCTTTCAACATAACATAAATAACGTCATACTCAGCTGACTCTGCACTTAAAGAACTCTTCAAATAAAAGGTCCTGGAAACAGTTAAATAATTGGAGAAATCAGAAAGAAGTGAGTCAAACCAATTGTCATTGAGTAATTACATTAATAAAAGCAGGGAGAAAGATAGAGTGATTAGACAGGAAGTAATGACGTAGGCCCGCTGAAAGCAAACCGTCCTTCAATGGGAGGATTCAAGGTAAGAACACGCACCTGTCCTATTTAAGCGTCTTAAAAATGGATTGGAACCCGGTCCAAATCGGCCTCTAGGTCAAAAGATCAGGTTACTTGTCAGCTGGCCTGATAAAAGGTTTACATTGTCTTATCCAGTGTTAAGCCTGTTATTTACACCTCTCTACTCCACTGTTTCTCTTTTCTGATCAATCGTATTAGAGGCACCAGCCAATAGTCATTCAAAGAGTGGACAATCTAATAGGTACCAATGGCGTGTTATATTCATTGTGTAAAAAGTAGCATTTTGACTCCGAATGGAATTAATCAATCGTGTACCAATAGAAAGGCTTAATGTAAAATTCCAAGTACGCTGGATTGAGTTGGCCTATTTCTAAAGGTACCAATTACTCGATGACAAGAGTCATCAGCTCTTACCCTGCTGGTTGGCGAAGTGGCTGACAGCAGCTTATCAGGTCTGATTAATTATTGGCAAAGCTGATAAGGAGAACAACTTCTAGGTTTGTCCACTCTACTGCTGTAAACATGTATACAACATTGCCTCTCAGGGCTCGTATATGAATGCAAGATTAAATACGTCCTTTTTATACAATATTTACTGAAGTGTAAGATATTATCATCTTGGCAACCCAATATAAACACACATCTTATGCTTGGCCAATAAAAAACATACTAAAGGGAAGTAAAAAATCTAGGCCAGAGGAGGCAAGATTAAAACAAGCCAATGTGAAGATTCCCTAGCAACTCCTAAAGGACTGAACAGTAGCAGACCATGGGGAGCTCCATACAGAGGTTTGCTTTATATGAATAGACAGGGACAAGTGAATGGGGGGAAATATCAGTGAAGCCTTTTTACTGTATTATCTATTGTCAAGTTCTTCAGATGTTTATCCTACATAGCACATCCAGAAAAAAATATACATTTCCAGTTGTGATCTTTTGAATTAAAAGGTTGTTTCCAAATGTTTTGCTCTAAAACGTATTAGAAATAGTTGAACATTATGGAAAGGTCCTATATTTTCTTTGTTTCCAGGTGACAAATGATATCAATCTTAAGTCTTTATGATAAGAGTTTAGACTTGACTGAGGACATTTTTAGCCTAGCTTAGCACTAGACTTTAAACAGAAGGAAAATAAGCCATGAAACTTCCCATAAAATCTCACATTTACATTTTTCTATGAAATGTATTTTTCTCTTTCTATTTCTCTTTGTGTGCAATTTAAATAGACTTCATACTGTACATTGTTGAACTTTGTAGGAAGTGATAGGCTTATCATTTGGTCAGGCTATCTGTTCTTTCCATGCTTGCAGTTTTTATGCTAGGTTAAGCTAACCACTTCCTGACCACATCTTAATACTTTATAAACACAGGAGATGGAAATCATTGCCATTAGCGTACCAGCAAAACCGATGCCACATTTTATCTTTCAGTCTCGGAGATGCAGATGCAGAATTGGCCGTCGCAGACGACGATGTGGACGCCACGGCAACAGAGACCTACTGCGGGGAGTGGAAGAACGACAAGCGAACAGGATTCGGCATTAGCCGGCGGTCCGACGGGCTGCAGTACGAGGGGGAGTGGCTTAGCAACAAGCGCCATGGCTACGGCTGCACCACGTTTCCTGATGGCACGAAAGAGGAAGGGAAGTACAAACAGAACATTCTGGTGAGCGGCAAAAGGAAGAACCTGATCCCGCTCCGGGCCAGTAAGATCAGAGAGAAGGTGGACCGAGCCGTGGAGGGAGCACAGAAAGCCACCGACATCGCCCGGCAGAAGGCTGAGATCGCCATGTCCAGGTAGGGGCTTTACGCTGGTTTGTGGATGAGTCTGACTTGTTGGGTTTGTCATTCTCCACCATTCCTTTGGTGCAAGTAAAAGGCCACCAAGTCTAGAAGTGGTTGTGTGTTTGCTAGCTAGGCTATGGCTAATGTGATGTAATAGAGGCCTTGAAGATCAACTTTTTACTGTTAGAGATGGGGTCCTGAATGAGCACAAACATTACTTCCAAAGCGATTTCTTTTCTTTTCACATGAGAGTTTTCTTGGTTTGTGTTCTGTCTGTTTGTTTCCTTTTACTGGTTTGAAGTGACATGGGAAAAGTACTAATATCTCTACAAGGTTTTACAGAGCCTGGTCATATGGTATAATCACTTTCTTAACATTTCCACTAGCTGTCTTCATGTTCGAACTAATCTTAAACATTTCATCTTCAAACTGAACAGAATAGAATGAACCATCAGTGTCACTGACCAAATCAGTGGCTCTTAGCAAAGGAGACTGAGAACACTGTTACGGTACTTCCTCATTAAAGAGACAGCGAAAGACAACAAAATCATGACCAAATAACTCTCTTGCCAAAGACTGTCTTTTGAGCCATGAACATTTTGAACTCTATTCGTATGAATCTGTTTTTAATACCAAACTAAAAGTAAAGTATCTAAACTAGGATCATCCTAAATCTAAATCTAAATCTAGAACTGAACTGAATCAGCACTAAATGTTGAATTGGTGTGAATGGATAGGCATTCACTTATAAAATAATAAAGGGAACTTCAACGGCGATGTGATCGCCTAGGCCAGAGAAAAAAGGTGAATGAACTCTATAGTCAGTGACGAAATGATTGATTCCTCAACTTCAGCACTTTATTTTTCTATCTTATCTTCATGTCTTTGTATTGTTCCAGAGTCAACCAAATACTAAGGGCTCCATGTGTCTGACTCCTTGAGGGAGTGATAACACTTGTAGAAGGCCTGAATACGCATTGAGATCAATGGCAGATAAAGAACAGGATTAGGGTTACGGTAAAATGAGGGTTAAGGAGGTTATGTAAGTGAAGCGGCACGTAAAGCGAGACGGTCAGTGGTAAGGTGATGATGAAGATGTTCTGCTGAATGGAAATGAGATCTTGCTCTCATTATAACTGCTCATTGAACTAAAACAATGGGCACTGTCTGGGTTTTGATGCTAATGGCCCTGCCCTGACCTTCTTTACAGATAGAAAACTTTTGGACAGGAAAAAAAAGCAGTAATCTTTGTTTTTCAGCCGAGAACCATCTAGGAATTAATTAGCTGCCCTGGGACCAGTAGTCATGGATACACATCGACACTGTGTCATGTGGAGAGCCATCACAAGTAGGCCTATGACCTATTTTGCTACCAGACCTTGTTGTTTCAAGGAACCAGGTTATAGGCCATGTATACAGTAGTTCTGTGGCACTACTTTCTGTCAAAACTTCTTTTTAAAACCTCATTAGTAGATTGGGGTTGTTAGGTAAGGATTTGATAAGAAAATTGAAAAAGTGTCGAGGTGAACATTTGGATAATGAGTTCAAGCCAGGGAGAAAATATGAGCAAGCAATTTGGCTGCTAGCTTCACAAGATTTCCATTCTGCAGATACATTTATATCCACCAGAAGATAGTTTACGTGAGCCAGTTCTGAAAAGTAATATAGAAAGTTAAAAGTACAACATCCATCTTAGTTTCCCAATGGCTGTATTGGTATTTAAGCAGTTTTTTAAGATGAATCTGAATGGAAAAAGTGGATGATTGGCTGGATTGAATCAGCGCTTGGAAAATTACTTGGAATTTCCTCTGACTTGCATTTTTAAAACTAAAGGTTTGATCATTACATAATGGCAAAAAGCATTTGATTGTATTGTAATATGTTCACTGTTGGCTTTGAAATTAGATAGGATTTTCTTTGTCTCAATTGTTTTTTTTCGTGAGTTTATTTATTTGGTGAAAGTGCACTTACCGAGCAAACATAAATTGTTATTTGGATATTAAACATTTTCAAAGAAGAAAACTAGCCTTAAAATACCAGCACCCATCTGTTGGGTTGAGTTGTACAACAGGTGTCCTGTCCTGCAAAGGAAATATATGAGCAACAATTGGGATAAATGTTTGCAGGTTCATTCACAATTCAGTGTCACTGGGTTTGTGAATGAACCTGTGGTCCATAAGGGGGTTAGGTTTACTATCTGATTAGAAGATGACCTTGAAACAGATCAATAATAGAACACGCTAACAGCATGTCAATAGCTGTAACTTACATGTAGGTCTGGGTAATATATCAATACTATATGGATATTGTGATATGAGACTAAATATCGTGTTGGATTTTTAAGTCGAAAAGTGTCTTTTCGTGGTTTTAAATGCAGTACACAGTAATGGGATTTATTTTGCTGAATTTACCAGACTGTTGTAGCTGTTTACCCACTTACTGTAGCCATTATACCCACATAACCAATGAAATATATGTAAAAACTTCACCATTAGTTTACTTTACAATATTGGAGCAATATATTGAGGTATTTCCTGAAAAATGTATGATATTTGATTTCTCCATATTGCCCATCCCTACTTACATGTACAGTACGTACACAGTACGTGTCAATGTCATTGTGTTTGCATTTGTTGAAGAGAACATTGCCTCATTCATACATGTGTAAAGACTAAGATGGACAAGCTAGATAAGGAAATAATGTGAACACACAAGTATTACAAAGAAAATGAGTGAGATGAAAATAGTGTAAAAGTAGGAGTTAGAGATAAAACAATCCAAAAGTGAAACAGGAAAAGTAAATGCGAGTGAGATGGATTTCCGCATTATGCAAACAATGTTGGCAGGCAGCCTGAGAGAGGGCAAAGATACTGAACTATGGTCCCAACACACACACACACACACACACACACACACACACACACACACACACACACACACACACACACACACACACACACACACACACACACACACACACACACACACACACACACACACACACACACACACACACACACACACACACACACACTCTATAAAAGATCCAATCCTATTAGTCCTTATGACAGTCTTCAACTGTATTGACCAAAACATCCTACAGCTGCTCACCTTATTCAGTGGACACATCAGTCACTGGTCTGTCTTACAGTACATTAAGGATATATCGAACAAAACCTTGCTAATACAAGCGGTATGAATGCGAAAAGCGGACTCTAGATTTAAATATAGAGCTACCAACTAAATTAGTTTGCGAGGGGAAGTATGTTTTTTATGTTTAGGCAACGAAACTACTTGGTTAAGAAAATATATCATGGTTTGGCTTGAAAATAAGTTTGTATGTCATTGAAGTTGCGTACAATGACAATTTTACTCCTGGGTGAAAGTTAGATATTTGTTTGAATCCTTTATCCACCCAAACCCTACATGGATATTCACAAATGATCTCTTCCTCAAAACGTTATTGACAATGCAAACCTGGCTGTCGTAACCCAGCATGTTGTATTTGTCCGTCAAACTGTTTGCTTCTTTGTCAATCTGTTGGTTTACATCTGTCTGTCTGCCTCTGTCTTGTTGTCAGGCTATAATCCAGTGGCTGTCTCTCATTTAAAAAAGGAAATCATGAAAACCATTTCAAATATATGTGGGTTTGAACTATGTTTGAATGATCATAATCATAGTCACAATTCGTACCTGAATCTGGCGGGTTTAAGAAAGTAATGTGTAAACCTACACAATCAGGTGATGTAAACTTCAGCTAATGTATGTTAAAAAGAGTTGTCCTTGGATACTTGGAAGGCTTGTGCACTAGGGGTTAAAGCTTAATTTATTTTTGGGGAGGGACAGAGTGCCCTTGTCTAAAGTAGGGTGCGCTTTTTAGATGCCTAAAGCAATAAACCCTGATCTCAATACAAAAAGTTCTTGAATGAACTTATTTCATGAGTGCATTGCATAAGGGTATTTAACCATGCAAGCAGCTGTGAGGCGAAGCACAGCTGAGGTGCTTTAAGCTAAATGCTGACACATCTTGATGGTGACATGCCATTGTTCCGATGGCCTTTATGTATACACATACACATGCTCATGTCTTTTGCAGGTGTTTTTTCACAAGAATAATGACCTTCGGGAAAAGACTAAACTCCCTTTAATATCTTTTTTTTTTCTTCTTTTGCAATCAGTGCGACAGCCACAGCCCCTACAGTCAAACTCTGTGAAATCATCAAAACTACTTGGTAAAGTTGAAGGAGAAATGTGTGTTTGAGTTTTAGAAAAGTACCTTTAGAATACTTGGTCAGCTTTAGGCAACAACAGTTCTTGGTTAGGAATTGATGTTACGGAATTGGCGTAATGGAAGAGCGTTACGAGTGGCGTTACGAGTGGCGTTACGAGTGGCGTTACGAGTGGCGTTACGGAAAGTGGCGTTACGGAAAGTGGCGTTACGGAAAGTGGCGTTACGGAATTGGCGTAATGGAAGAGTGTTACGAGTGCCGTTACGGAAAGTGGCGTTACGGAAAGTGGCGTTACAGAAGTGTGGAAGTTAGTCCTGTCTTTTGATTACGTTTGTAACATACAATTTGATTCAATGTGTTATGGCACTTTCCGTAATGGCGTTACGAAAAGTGGCGTTACGAAAAGTGGCGTTACGAAAAGTGGCGTTACGAAAAGTGGCGTTACGGAAAATGGCGTTACGGAAAGTGGCGTTTCGGAAAGTGGCGTTACGGAAAGTGGCGTTTCGGAATTGGCGTAATGGAAGAGCGTTACGAGTGGCGTTACGGAAAGTGGCGTTACAGAAGTGGCGTTACAGAAGTGTGGAAGTTAGTCCTGTCTTTTGATTACGTTTGTAACATACAATTTGATTCAATGTGTTATATATAAATTATACGACTTTACTTTATGAAGGCAGTGGTACAATAAACATTCAGAAATATAATTCTCAATTTAAACTAGATTTTAAAACCACAAAATGTTGTGTGTTGGGACAGAGATTAAATAGATATATTAATTGATGCAGA